GCATTCCTTTATGTAACCACAGACCTTGTCCCAAAGGATAATGTCATGTGACTGTTACACAAATGCCATGTAACCTGCCAGTTATGCTAATGTGACATAGATTATAGGTGTCTTATTCTAACCAATTGCAAGAAACAGTTAATCATAATACAGAGAGGATTTTTAAATTTTCTGTTAACACTAGGATTTGAACTCTGAACCTGCCACTTGGGGGTTGACAACCTGACCACTTCACTAGATTGCCACACTCTCAAAAATTTTTTGTTTAAACATATACATATCATATATTTTTATATTGTATATAATATATTGCTCAATTTCAAGTTTATTTTTTTTTATTCAATTTTCTATAATACTAATTGTTTTTTTGAATTTGGCCATTTTGCCAATATATATATATATATATATATTTTTTTTTTTTTTAAGTTAAAGTTCCTATCTTGGAAGTTGCATGTTTTTATTCAAATATATTAGGACACACATGCCACCAGGAGCTCACCTTACATTGAAGGTTACAACTAGCCACACATGCACTTTTGGTGCCTAATTTAAGTAGTCTGTTTACACATTACTATATAAGTTCTACACTAGTTGCTATATCTACAAGCCAACTAGGGGTCTTGCCTATTTAAACTCTTTGCATATGCAGTCTTTTTTGTATCACAGGAACATCTCAAGGTGCTGCCCATCCAAGTTCCCAATGCTTATCAGTATCCTTAGGACTACTTTATCCTCGATAGGAAACTTACTAGAGCCTTTATGTCTCACACATATAGACCTAGTTTTATGCAACATGCTATAGTTACCTAACACTTGCAGTTATAGAGGTTACCTGTTTAACTGCTACATTATACTATTTCTACTCTTGTAAAGTTCACTAGAACTCCAGTACTCATCTTTTTGGCATCTTCTCCATCATCCCCTACTAGCTGCAACTCAGAACCATCAGTCTCAGTCTAGACTACCAATCCAGATGGCCTGGTATGGTATACTTCTGTATCCTTTTTCTCTAGCGAACCTGGCAGCCTGGTTGGTTATATGCTCCTCTACATATATTTGCTATCTGGTTTTAATCTTCAGTTTCTATGAAGGTGTTTCATAGGCTTTAACTAGTCTGATGGTACTATCGAAAGTTCATGCTACCTCTTTATTTAGAAATTTCCAAGTAGGTTTTCATCACTTCGGTTCCTTAGTCTTCTACACCTGATGGTCTTATTGTAGATTTGCACTGAAGTCTTATGCAACACCAGTAAACATTTCTCTATATATGTGTAACATTACACTTTGCATAGATGCCTGAGCTCTCAACGTTGGGGGGACCCGATTTGGTGTACCTGGGTAACAGCCACATAAGGCCAACTAATCAACAGGAGACAGTTACCATAATACAGATATAATTTCCAAATATTGTTGTAGGTGGGATTTGAACCTTAGACCTGCCACTTGGAGAATGATAACTCAACCACTATACTAGGATCACCATTCTCTTCAATATATATATATATACATAGCACATGTAATCATTGTAAGATAAATTTATATAGACCAAGTTTGATAAAGTAATTTAATTTATTATTTTCTTATTTATTACTCTTATAGTAGTTTTAAAGGTCTATAATCTATACATAATTGAAAAATGAATTGCTATTTTACTTATATAAATTGTTTCAAAAAAAATAAATTTATGATTTTTTTTTTTTCACTGATTTTTATATATATATTTTTTTTTTGGTATTAAAGTGACCTTTTTGGTCTGAGCTTTTTTATTAATACTTATAGCGAGTATATGTTTTATATAGATGTATCTATAATGAACTATTAGACAAGTGTACAACTAGTTATATGTATAACTTTTCTATATTACCTATTTAAGGAGTCCACCCGAAGGTTCCTTACCAGTTGCCATACCTAACACCCCTGCTTAGATGTTCCATTTAAACTCTCTGATCTAACTCTAGTATTAATTTCATCAGGTCATAGACCTGGATCTATTCACATTCAACCATAGGACTTAATTCTTAGACTATTTTTATTCTTAAGGTAAACCTATCAGAGTGAGCTGTATTCTCTTTTTTACTGCTAACCTGGTTTGACACTATAGCCAAGACCAACACTTACAGTTAGAGTTACCTTTTAAACTGCTATTACTTTTGTAAAGTTTACTTAAACCCTGATACCTATCTTTTTGACTTTTTTTCTATTATTCTTTACTAGCCACAACTTGGAATTAACTGATTTGCCAAACTCCCAATCCAGATGGCCCAGTATGGTATACTTATGTATTTTTTTTCTCTGGTAATTTTGGCAGTCTGGTTGGTCATATGCTCTTCTACACATCTTTGTTATCCGGTTTATCTGATCAGTTTCTATAAAGGTGTTTTATGGGCTTTTATTAGTTCAATTGTATCATCGAAAGTTCATGCTACCTCTTTAATCAGGATTTCCAAGTGAGTTTTCATCTCTTCAGTTTCTTAGCCTTCTACACCTGGTGGTCTTATCATGGGTTAGTACCGAAGCCTTATACAACACTGGTTTTTCACATTCCTTTATATACATGTATCATGTAATATTATATTTTGCATAGATGCCCTAAGCTTCCAATGTCAGATAGGACCTGACTTGGTATATCTAAGATTACAGATGCCCAAAACCTAACTGATCAGCAAGAGACAGTTACCATAATACAGATATAATTTCCAAAATTCATCATCTGTAAGAATTGAACCTTAGACCTGCCACTTAAGAGTTAACAACCTATTCACTTCACTAGATCACCACACTTCTACTAATTTTTATATATAATAAATATTGGCAACAAAAATAAATAGACATATGAATGTTATATGAACACTATTAAGAAAAAAATGAAACTTGGACTTTCAAGTTTATTATTTACTATTTACTGAATTCAGACCTACTTATAATGTATATAATCTATCTTTTCTTGAGTAGAATTTGATAAATAATAAATAATAAACTTGAAAGCCTGAAATCTTATTTTTTTAATAAACCAAGTATAATCACCAAGATCATTTATATATGAAGTTTTAAATTATTATCCAATAATATAATTTATTGAAATAACTAATACATATAATATATTAGGTTTTCAAGTGTTGACTATGTAAATGATCTTAGTGATTATGCTAGAACAGTTCATTTTTTCTTATTAGCATTCATAAGCTAATCTTAATTGTCTAGAACATTACTATTGTAAAATATAGACTTCTAATACTATCTTCAATATATTTGCATCTATAATCTTGATATAATTAAATAAATAATAATATTTATCAAAATTTTATTAGTACAAATTTTGGACACATTCAGAAAATTCAAATATTGACAAAAATAGAATTGTTTTGCTTAGGCTCTTGTAAAAAACCCATATGGCTTAAATGATCAAAGATATATATTATCTATAATAGCTGATAGTTTCAAATATAAAGATCTGTAAAAAAACTTGAAAATATTGGATTACTTTAAGATAAATATTAAAATATTATTATCAAATAATAATATACATTATACTTATCTTAGGTATCTCCAAATTCAATTAGTGCAGCAAAAATTTATAGTAATATAAATGAATATAGTAGTCTATCATAATCTAAACTTAAAATAAAAAAACAAATATTACCAAAAAAATTAGAAGAGTTAGAAACATTTCTTAATGATAAAAATAATATAAATATAAGTTCATATAAAACAGATAAAAAAGGATGTACAATTAAATATCTAAATAATAATAAGAAACACCTTTGAGAACACTTTTCTCAAATATTTCTATATAGAATGAAAAGAACAGCTTTTATAACTCAATTAAAAGAAAGACTATTCTGATACTGTAAAAATTTGGAAGGATTATGTGCCATATGTAATCAATACAGATATGAGATTTTTAAAAACTTAAAAAATCTAATTATTCAAGAATTGAATAACTCTAAAAAATAGGTAATTACCTCTAATATAATAAATAATTGTTACAAATCTTTATTGTAAGAATTGCATTAAATAGTTCACCATCAAAGCTTTTATCTCATTAATATTACCTACTATTTGTTATTAATTTTTGATACTAAGAAATCTATTACAGAAACTTTGAATAAAAAAATTTGAAAGCATTTAACAATACTTAAAGCATGACTATCAAAATTATATAAAAGTAAATATAGCTAAAAATATAAAACATGATATATGTATAAATCACTGTTTACTATATGCTTTTGGTAATTGTATCCAACCTCATAATATTGAATATGATGAATATTCTAAAATTTTTAAAATATTTGCTAATTTAAAATCTTAACTTCCTGTAATAAAATCAAATGAAATTGAAGAATATCAGAAACAATTGCTTTACTATCTATTACATCAAACTAGAAAAATATATACCAATACACAATTTAATGTGAGCTTTACAGAATTAGATTCAAATAGTGCCTTAGTTTTGATCGATTATAAAATAAAAATTTTATCTACTCAAGTATATGAAATAAAAAGAGACTTCTTTAGTAAAAAAGGATGAATACTTCATAGCATACTAGTATATACAAAAAAAGAAAAATAACACTAAATTTAAAATAAATGCATTTGATTATTGGTCAACAGATTCACATCAAGATGCATGGTTTACAGCATTTTCATTGCATGCTATATTAATTAATATATTGAAAAAACCTAAATGGATTATTATAATGTCAGATAATGGCCTGCATTATCATAATACAGAAATGATGATAATTTTAAGTCAATGATATGAATAGTATAAAATTGAAGTTAGAAAGTAGATCTTTCTAGAAGCTGGTAAAGCAAAAACTACAATTGATTTGCATCATACTCAGGTACATACCTTTTTAGCTCAAATAATTTTATTAATATTTGAACTTGCTTATTTTTTCCTTTTTTTTTTTTTTTTTTTTATTAAGATATCACATGCTATTCAAAAACATATACATTTAGGATTTGAAATAAATACTAGTAAAGATATTGAATTAGCAATGAAAGATATAACAGGTACTTCAACAGCACACATACAACCTAATTGTGTAAAAAAAGATCAAAGATTTGGAACCTTGTCAGGAGTGTCAAATTAGAGAGAATAACAATAGCCAAATGATGGTCTTTATGCAGGTTATATTTTTGCATAAGTATTACCTAATTTTGGAATATAGAAAAATTTCACTTCAGCTTAAATTGCAAAAGTAACTAAAATAAATTTAACTCAACCTACACTACAAATATCTAAGCATTCTACTCTGAAAAGTCTATAAAAGTATCTCTTTATTGAATGACAAATAAAAAGCTAAAAACTATTGTTAATTTATTATAGGTGAAAAATTAAAATTACTAATTTGTTATTTGTATTTAAGTTAGTGACGAAGTTAACTAGGATTTATGAAGATGGCAATCAAGCCAACTAAAAAACATGATAAATTCCTATAAAATAAACTATTCAGATAATGTATCATGTTTTGACCTTCTTGATTTATTGTAAAAAGAAATGTTTTCTGAAACAACAAAAGAATTGAATAAATGAAAAAACTATTTATTTGTTAATGATATAGATCTCACACATACCAATGAACAATCATAAGTATTTGAAAATATTAGCCAAAATTAAAAAAACTTCACATACTGTATAAATAGTATGCATATAGAATAAATTATACCTGAAATCTCAATCTATTACTCTATATATTATATAATTTCATAGATATGCATGTTCACAAAATTATTCAAATTATCTCTTGGCCAACCCATCTACATGACTTTTTTTATATGCTTATTTTTACTGAATATACATCATATTGATTTTTAAAAAATTGAAAATAGTAAAAACTTATTACAATAAATAAATATGCAAGTATTTTGCTCTTTAAAATAAAAGATATTAAAAAAAAAGTTTTAGATGAAGTATATAAAAAAGTTATATAATGGGTATGGGTCCCATAGCTTAGCAGTTAAGCTCCTATACCCTCATAGTCTAGTTTGACGGTTCAAGTCCGACTGGAGGCAAAATCTAAAAAAAAGATTTTAGCTTCTGTAACCTAAAAAGGGGGCCAGTAATTGAACACGGAGCCCTGTGAACAAAGACCAAGTGCAGTATATGATTGAAATAGGAATTCCCAGAAGGAGACCAACCCTGCAGAGCGTGGGCACTATGTGTGTGGCGGAAGCACAGAAGGTTCTGTTACATGAAGAATTGCGCAAGTAAGTCTACTAGGAGACGTGTGGCAGTACCAACATCTTCATACTCATTAGCAACTTGGATGGGACATCTGGAGTTGTAACCCTGTAATTCTGGTTGTACCAAAGACTCTTTGGGAGTGTGCCTGAGGAACACACAAATGAATCCGGAAAGTATATACTAAAAAGGAAGCTAGTAAGGGAGACTTGATTGGGAGGGTAATATCTAAGGTAACACAACTAGAGTAGTGAGAGAAGCAGTGCATGCAGGGAAGATTTGTGATAAAGGATTAGCTGTTTCAAGATTAGAAGCACCTCTGGCACTGTGGAACATCTAAAAATAGAAGGTAACAAAAAATTGTATAGAGGATGTAGCCTGTTCTGTACGTCTAAAAGTGCCAAGCCGAAGCTCTGGTCATAACCTATATGGGAGTCTATGACGAAACAAGGGGAACACACCAACATAAATGCTGTACTAATTAGGGTTGAGATACCTATAATTGGAAGTAGTAGTAATACTACGATGGCCAATAGCTGGAAGAGGTTACTCAAAAACATAGTTCTACTTATACCATAGAAGGAAGTACTTAAAAGAGCAGGTTAGGTGTACAACTCATTGATGAAGAATGCCAAGACCAGAAGAGGTGCAAACCAGTAGCGGCAGCAGGGAACTGGCTTAAGATACATGCTACCAGTACCTGAATTGGGAAGTTAGCAATAACAGCAGGACCTTGGCTTGAGATACGTACTGTAGAAAGGTGCCATTCTGGCAAACCAAAAGATGGTAGCTCATAAGGAGCGAACAACCCAGCAGACCAATTTGGAAGTTGTTTGACAATAGGTTGTGAAACATGGGAGGAATATGCAAGGTTACTGGATATAATTAGATGTGAAGCAAAATCCAGGTTATGTGTGAGTGGGACACGATATACAAAACTCTGGTAGGTTTAGGTCACAGATAAATTAGTCTGAGTTCTATTTCAAATAGGTATATAGAGTAATAAATAATGTATAATGTAAAAAGTTGTATAGGTTATAACAATATATACTAATAAAGATCTGGGGCATGACCTCACCTTAATGTTAAAAAAAAAAAATAAAATAAAAAATAAAAAAGTTATATATATGGCAGAAGATAAATTAGCTATATCCTAGATATCAACAGAATTTTCTATAAAGCATAATTGACATAGATTGGCTGTTTACGCAAACAATCTATATTATTATACTTTATACCAAAATTCTATTTATATCCAACTACCCAGAATATAACTATTACTTATATACTATTTAAAGCAATGAATTTTAATTTTGGCTAGTAAAATTATTTCATCGATTTTGCAATAGCCTTAATTATTTTTTCTATTATAAATTTGTCCAAAATAATTCTTATTAGATGCAGGTTAGGCATTAAAAGAGAATCAAAAATATAAAAAAAAAGAAAGTAGAAAACAAATAGCACCTTATGTTCTAGAGTTGTTAAAAACTATGTTTATAGCAGACCAAGAAGATTATAGTCAGCAAAATTCTGTAAAAGAAATATTTGATGAATTAATACAAATGGCCAAAGAGAGTATGCTTAGTCCTGAAGAAATTTCATCAAAACAAACTATTCAATCTTGGATAGGATAATATTCTGCTGCAAATAAAAAAAAAATAACATATTTAACAAAAGTTGTAAATATAGCAAGTTCTTCAAATAGTGAAGAATGAATATAAATAGTGATCTGTTAAAATAAATATTGTGATCTAATTATTGAAACTTAGTATATTTTTTATTAAAAATAAAAATTACAAAATATAGTTCAAATTACCTAGTATGATATAGTAAACTCATGAAATTATGAAGGTTCAAGACATTAGTAATGTTAGAAAAATGGTATGATAAAAAGGCTTGTCTAATAAAACTTCTCAGAATAACAAAATAGAAAGTAAATATGAGTATTGTGTTGATGATTTAAAGATGAGAAATCTCAAATGTATGTTGTTTGTTGATCAACTGTTTATTAGTTATAATTTGGATGATCTTATAAATAATTCTACAATATAATAAAATAAAATACAAAGTGATCTAGAACTACTATAGTATTTCTTAGTATACATATATCTCATGAATTGTATTATAGGCACGATTGATTTATAAACAATTTGTATTATATATAATAACAGATAATAAATATAAGTAACAATCTATAAGGAAATCACTAAGTAATAATCATATATTTATTTCTATATATAGATATATATATTAAGTGTTGCAAAAAATATGCACAATAGGGTATGGGTCCTATAGCTTAGCGGTTAAGCTCCCATGCCCCCACAGACAAGGTCAATGGTTCAAGTCCGGCTGGAGGCAAAATCAAAAA